ACTGACAACGTTGGTGTTATGAGCACTGCATTCTAGCCAACTGAGCTAACCAGCCGCCCCTCATAGATGTTTAATAATAAAAAGATACCACAACTTTAAAGATTGGCAATCACTGCCCTACTCTGATATTTCTCTTTCCCCTAGCATAGGACAATCTGAATCTCTTTCCTGTGCTTGGAGTCTCTCTAAATATTTATACTTAAAACCACAGGACATGACAGTGAAGATGTGTTCAGGAAATATTAAAATAAAAAATCAAAATGGCTAACAAGAGGCAGAATGAATTTTATGTTAACATGCTCCCATTCCAACAATCTAATATAATAGCTTTTCAACTGTAGCATCAGAAATCCACATGTAGTTCTGGGGCCATGACCTTTTTTTCAGGATGGCACAAGGTTTGATGCTTTTGAGTTATTTGAACATAGGAGCCACTGATAGTAAGCAAGAGGGTCTACAGAATGTCAAGAAATAAAGCAGAATTTAGATGAAACAGAGGCAGGAGGTGACAAAGATTGTTTAAAGGATGTACAAAGAAAAGAGGGGCCTTCTCAACAACCAACCCCTAAGTTATACCTGACAGATACATGTGATGAGGGCAAAAGAAAAAAATCAAGAATAGAAAACCAGGTTTGATGTAAAAGAACTTCAACAAGCTTCCTTACAACCACCAGCTTCTGATTAAAACAATAACAAAAAAGGTCATCTGACTTACCTAGAGATGCTAAGTACACTTCTGAATCCTGCAAGGGAGCCCAAGGCTTTATAGCTGGCTGAGCAGCAAAATCTGGGGCCTCCCTCTGGCCTGTGCCTGCAGGGTAAGATTCTATAAAGGAGTCTGAGAAGGCATTGCTGGCACCATCCTCTTGGTCGGGAATTGGCAGACGGGAACAGATTTCAGCCCAAAGATCCGGGCCAGATTTTGTGGCTGTAGAGTCAATGCTCTCAAACATTTTCATTTGGAATTTGAGCTGAAAAACAGAAGCTCAAGTAAGCAAGAACTGGCTTCAAGGATATAGTATAAGTATGCAGTACTCAGGTATTTGTTTACACATTGAAGGCTTTTCAGACGTTTCTCTTAACAAAACTTAAAATGTCTTCTATTAGGTTTCTGTGTTACAGATAAAAAGATGACAAAAATGTAATTGGGTTCCTTTTCTGGCTCTGCACTCAAGTTGTTTTCATAATGAAGTTTGTCTTTAAAAATGGAATTTCTACAAGCCAGACACTAAGGACAAATATTGAATGATTCCACTTATATGAGTACCTAGTACAGTCAAATTCATAGAGACAGTAAATAGGATGGTGGTTGACAGGGATTTGGGGGAGGGGAGAATGGGAGTTATTGTTTAATGGGTACAGAGTTTCAGTTTGGGAAGTTCTAGAGATGGAGGGTAATGATGGTTGCACAACATTGTGAATGTCACTGAACTGTACATCTAAAAATGGTTAAAATTTCATGTTATGTATGTTTTAAAACACACACACGAATTTCAACCACATTCCCAGTGAAGACAATCAACCTGCACTTTTCTGCAAAAATCTCCCGAATTCAACTATTCTGTCCTCAGCCAACTAAATTGCTTACAACAAGGCACAGACTAAAGGTCTTGCACAGTTCCATAAACACAAGGATAACAAAAGTGCTGCTTGGTGAAAACTGTCTCTCAGAGTACTGTCATATGCAAAGTCCCATGTGCTCATTACATGTAGAAGCTGGGCTATATGCCTTATGTTCTTATTGTAATAGAAACACTGAAAGGTAGACATTTTCATCATTTTACAGATGAAGAATCTGAGGATCAGAAGGGTAATTTGTCAATGGCACATTGCTGACGTACGGTGAATCCTTGATTGGAACCAGGTCTGTGCTGCTCCAAAATCCATGTTTTTATTTACCCAATAGAACTCTGCCAGTTTGGGAATATACTGAGAGTAGCCCAAGCAGAGGTTGGTGGTAAGGGCTATGCACAGACCCTGGGGCTTTCATAACTACCTAGTCGTATAGGATGAGTTGACACTTTCTCTCAGGAGGGACCTTTGAGATTAGGAAGGCTGCCTCTGGAAAGGTCTGAATAATTCCAGGAGAGCCCAGCCAGCGAAACGGCCCGGAAGTAAAAGGGACAGATCTGTCACGGGAGCCCTGCATGAACTGATGCCAGAGGCCACAATGAACCCCCACCCCTATCCCGAAATCGTTTGAACGCACCCAAACCAAAATTTTGCTCACACCGGAGCCCCGGTCCCCTTCTCCCCTAAGAAGTTCAGAACACTGCAGGAAATCCTGGTGTCCACACCCCGGGCCTTAGTCACTCTGGCCTCAAGAACTGGCTGAGCGGAATGAGTCAGGCACTAAGGCCGATGTGTAGTATTCCGGGATGGGGCCGGAGCCGGGGATACAAAGCTCTGGGTACGCCGGCCCCCGCTCACCTACCGCAACAGCCTGCCCAGCAGCCCGCAAACGCTCAGCTCAGCTCTGTCTATTGCAGCCCGGAAAAAATAGGGGGCGGAGTCTCCGAGTGACCGATCCTGGAAGTCCTCCAATCACCGCCAGACCTGGAGATGTTCTGTGCATCGATAGGTCGACTAGAGCTCAGGGTGAGGAAGTGATGAACTGAGTGCAAGGAAGCGGTGGGCGGGCCTGTTGTTGCCGGGAAACGGTGCAGTCACATGCCCTGGGCCTCTACTTTTCCTTGGAGTCAGGTCGATTCCGCTTGTATCTGTGTGTTCCAGTGCGCGGACAGTACCCTCCACTCATCCCCTGCTTAGATGGAGAAACCCGATTTTAGAGGTCTTTGACGTTTCTTGGTTCCCTGGGCAATTTCACCTCCTCAGCAATTTTCTGGGTAGGTGTTTGTCTCCGAAAATTTCAGCCGTTCGCTACCCTAGTTAGAGCACTTTTGCTGATGGGGAGCACTTTCCTTACTGATGGGAGACCCATGCCCCATTCACCAAGTTAGGAAGCTTTCCCTCATTCATTTAATGAACAGACGCCAAGCTCCTGCTGTCTTTTAGGCGTTCTGTTAAGCGGGAATTCAAGACAGGCAGACTTGGTATGAGTCCCAGAGGTCTTTATAGCTCAGTTCAGGAAGGTGCACCATGGGGCAGACAAGTTTACAAATAACAGCAAATAGCTGTACAGGAGATGACAGAAGTGTGGCCAGAGCACATAAAGGAGAGTGGTCACGGGCAGTTTGTATCACAAACGCTTTTTATTTATTTATTTATTTATTTATTTTCAAGTTCACGTCAGAAGGGTAATGTGCCGATGTCATAACAAGGTTTGAGCGCGGCACATCTCATACACAAGCGTGAACACCCAATCATCACACTTATGAACTACAAAAGGATCCAGAAACACTTTTTAAAGGGGATGACTTTTGATATCCTCTAGGGATTATGTTTACTGCGATGTAACCCTTCTCCACCCCTAAAACCCCAATTTCCGGGGCAATTACTCTCTCCCAAGGAAACGTGTACCGAAAGACATTAGCCAACCATCCGTAGAAGTAACTTGGCTGATGATATAGTCTCTAGATGTGTCCAAAGCCAATCAATGTGTCTGTGGTGGTAATAACTATCACTATGTGAAAGGGAGCTACAAGGAACTCTGTTGCTCATATTTACAACCACTCTTAGAGACAATGTGCAAACAGAAGGAAGTGGAAAACACGGAGGTTAGAAAACAAAGGAGCAAATAATAGGCAAGATTTTAGCAGTGCTTATTCACAGGGAGCAAATAGGGAGTAGGGGTGAGGGAATGGAGCCTCCCAATGAGGGATCCTCAGGCCTCCAACTACCAACCCACCAACGACATGAACCTGGCAGCATCCGATTCATAGAAAGGGGCACTCTCGTAGCTTTATGGGTGCTTCATCAAGCTACTCCATGACCTTTTGACTCCCTTATCCTCTTTTCTCTTGCTCACCAAACAAACTCTTGATTTCATATTTGGGCTGTTAAATATCTTGATACCAGGATGAGGGTGACTTTAACAGTTAGGCACACCAATAATCACTGGTATAAACAGGAATACATTTTATA